AAACTAACACGAGTATATATATATATATATATATATATATATATGTAGTCTCCTTCAGGACAAAGCTAGCCTCTGCTTTAGGTGTGTTGGGCAGAAAGTCACTTTAAGGGCAGTTTACTCCATAGTGGGCAACTTCAGGATTCTTATACCTTAAACTGAGGCTTGTGATGCTGCACATTACTAGAGATAATATCCTGGGTGAGATGGACCACTGACCTGATGCAATACGGCAATATTTAACTTTTTACTGGTCCAACTCACGATTTTAGATCCAGATCTTTGGCTGGTGCAAGTCAAAGTAGCACATTTGAGTGAAGGGTAAGGATGATGATTTAGACCATCTGAGGGGTCTAGATCCTATGGTAAACTGGTTTAACAACAACACTTGAATAATTTACTGCATCTCCATAATTATCTAAAATGGTTTGAAAATGGCAGCCAGCCATGATGGAAAAATTCTCTATTGTGGGTTAGGAATTAGTGTTTTTTACTGTTCTTTCAGGGGCTGGTGGGAATGGAAGGTCATGCGGCCATGGCACAAATAGGGCCTCAGAAAATCTGCTTTGGGACTTGTCTCTGGCACAGATTTCCTGTGCAAGCTTGGGCAAGTCCAATGGAACCAGAATCTCAAAAGGGATCAGCACTCACTAATCCTAGCTGTACTGGAAACCTATCCTTGAATCGCCTGAAACCAAACCCTCAGAGGGACTAAGACATCTAACTTCCCCTTTAGTCCCAGGCAGATCCTGAGAGCAGGCATTCACTTTTCTATTTTACTTGTGGGTTCCAATCAGGTAGGTGTTCTCAGTGTGCACCTACCAGTTCGGACCTTACGGAAAAGACAGCTGAGGGCAGCTATGTCAGCAATACTGGGGGCTTGGCTGGTAGGTGTGGATATCTATGAGAATACCCAGATAGGAAGCCTGCAAAAAGGGATCTACATAGCCCACATTAGCATATAACACCAGCAGGGAGTCTCCTATTCCATTGTCAACAGCGTGTTATGTTTCCTCTGCTCCCTTCTGTGTGTTTCAGGTTTACGAACGTCACAAAAAATGTCTTCCTGCAAAGACCTGTCTTGCCGACCCAGCCCGTGTTATCCTGACATATGCCCAGATCCATGTGTTGTTGCCCGCAATGAGCCTTGTATCACCTCGTGTGCAGATTCAACAGCAGTGGTCTATCCACCACCGGTTTCCGTGCTATTCCCAGGACCAATTCTCTCTTCTTCCCCTCAACACAGCCTAGTGGGAAGCACCTTACCAGCTCTACCCTATGGAGCTAGGGGCTCATTTGGGGGTGGTGCTTTGGGTGGCCCAATTGGTTATGGTAGTGGATATGGGGGTGCTTTAGAGGGTGGTTATGGTTATGGGGGCTTAAGCGGTTATGGAGGCTCATATGGTTATGGGGGCTTAAGCGGTTATGGAGGCTCATATGGTTATGGGGGCTTATGTGGTTATGGTGGTGGATACGGGGGTGGCTATGGTGGCTTATGCGGGTATGGGAGGAGATATGGTGGGAGGTGCTATTCTTCCCGCCGTGGAAGCTGTGGCCCATGTTAAACCCAGAAGAAAGAACCACGGAAGAAGAAACAACCAGGAAATGAAAGAGACGAGAGAGATTCACCACTCAACTACAACAGTACTCAAAATCAGTGGGGGTTTTGGCTGTTTGTCGACTGTATAAATCAGGCCTATCTATGCTTTCCTCTTGTTACCTGTTACCTTAGCTTTATGGTCTATATTGTTTTGCAGTTTAGTCTCATGCTTATATTGTTCTTTGTCCTATTTGATGCTGAGGAGAAAAAAAAATGGTTTAAGACTGGACATGACTGTCAAACTCTACAGCTTCAAGAAAGAGAGCAGAATAGCTTGTGTGAAACGCATCACCTTGGAGCCGGTCACTGGTTGTAGCTCTTCTTGTAACCCTGAAAATACATTCTTTGTTCTCTGCATTAATTCATTCTGTAAGTGCCAACTGCACTGCTCATTCCCATTAAAAATTATGCTGCATCATAGGATTGGCCTTCTGGTTTTCCTTTCCCCTCCCTTCTTTCTCTCCAAAACACTCTGGGTGAAACTCTCCCCTGTGCAGATGTTCAGGACCAGCCCTATGCACTGCATCAGTCCCACTCAAGCTCATAAGTAAGAAGTGAATCAGATACATTAATTGGTCAATAGAACTGGGCAGGTCCTCTGAACCGGAGGGAATTTCCCTCGTTACACATTTCACTACTGGTGCTATTGAATGGGAGTTTTCCTTCCTGCAGAGATATCGTTACAACACTGTCTAACTCAGAGGTCCCCAGACTGTGGGGCACTCCCCACTAGGGGGATATGGAGGAACATTCTGGGGGGGAGTGCAGTGGAGCCTGGGCCAGCCCCCACAGGGGACAGGGAAGGAGTGCCACTTAGCCCCACTCTGAGTTCTGCTCCTACCCTGCCCCCAGCTGCGGTCTTAGTTCTGTGCCCAGCCTCTGCCTCCGGCCACGGCTCCGCCACCGCTGCTGGCCCTGGCCCCACCCTTGGCCCCGGTCGCCACTCCATTCCTGGGCCCACCCTCACCCCCAGATGTCACCCCAGCCTCAGCCCTCTTACCCCGTCCTCATCCCCAAGCCCCAGGAGCCGCATCCCCACTCCCGGGCCTGGCTCCAGGTCGGGGGCCATGGACAGGAGTCAGGGGGTGTATGACCCTGAAAAGTTTGGGGACCACTGGTCTAGCTACATATCAACAAAAGGCTGGATGGAAAGAAAGAAATGCCTTTAAACTTTAATATATTTCCCTGTTCTAAATATTTTATCCATGGGGCTCAAAAATAATGACTCTCCTCTTATACTTTAATATATCTTTTCCCTAACTGAGTATAACTTTTAAGTGTGTGTGAGTGCTACTCTCCTTGGAAAAAAATCTGAAAGATTCTTTTAGTAGACTCATACATTTCCTCCAGTTCATTAATAAGTTCTAAAACATGGCTTGTTTCACCTCTCACAAAATCTTCTAAGGCTCTGTTTCTGGAAAATCAGCGTACATCCTTCACTTTAAACATGTGATTTGTGTGTTTGAACTTAAGAGGCTCTTGAAATGGTTCAAGGTTAGCAGCTGCATAAGTTCCTGCAAGTTGGTGGTCTGAGTTTGCATAAAATAAAATAAAATTCCTCTCCTCTTTTCTCTTTTTTTGGCATTTATAGTGACAGACAGAGGTTAGAAACCAGCTAGGGAGCAGTCATTGACCACAGTGTAAAATGTGTTTCAAATACTACAAATCTTGTATATTACATGCACTTTCAATTTACTTTGTGCACATGTAAATGAATGGCTTGAGGTGCAGAAGACTGGGGAATTTTTCACATTTCAGCTTCAGTGAAATTTCCAGTGGCTAGGACTCCTATCCACTGGAAATAAGTTAAAGTAATCTCTTGTCAGCGTTTGTTCTCATGTGTCCATAAACTGGATTGCAACAATTTCTAGTATTTCATTCCATAGTCAAATGATGTGATCCAATGTTGATTTATCAGAAATGCGGATTGATGCACCTATGCAGTGATAGGATTTAGGGTAAACAGGTGATTTTATCCTCGGGATGCTGCATTGGGATACAGCTGCGGAATGTGTGTTGTTGTTGAGATGATCACTAACCATAGTGGGTTTTTTTCCTATTTGGGTCAAGCCAAATTGTGTTCAGGTTTCCACGTTTCAATACATTTTGTCACAATTTTAGAGCATATGTAATTTTGGAAGGGGGTGTAAATTGATTCGGTGTTTGAGGAAGGGAGGGGTATAAATCTCACACCTCTGCAGACTTAGGTCTGAAAAACTCATTAGCAAGGAATATCCCAGTGGTGACTCTAACCCGGTCTATAGTGTGGCGAGTAGCTCTTCAGTGAACCACACGTCCAGCCATGACCTGGATGGGAAGACGGTGTTTCCGACTGGTTAGCCATTTTGACCATGGGGTCTGCCGGTCATGACAAAAGAGTGGTTCAAATTCAAATTCAACAGCTTCCACCATAGCTCCACTGAAAAGTCAACACTCATTTTCCTCTGCCGGTTGTTTGCATTCTAGTGGTTTGTTTATGAAATTGAAATCTTTGTGCTTATCCCCTTGGGCAATAGCACTCGGGTAGGATATGGTGAGGCGTTCTCAGAAGAACAGATTTTAATTTGAGTCACAAACACTCACTGATATTTTATACATGAATGGGCTTCTATTACTATGATGTCAGCAGTATGTTACTTGAGTGGGATGCCCCAATTTGGAGTGTCATTTTAAAATATGCTCTTATATTTTAAGAGCAAAGGTCTGTTATGTCATTTCCTGAATCAGGTTGTGCTTTATGGCCTGGGAATTTGGGGAGATTTAAATTTGCATTATAAAGTAGCTTTGCTTTTGTTTTCCTAAATTTTCCCTTTTAAAGTTGATGGGTCATATGCTCAGCTGACGTAAATCACCTCTAAATTCCATATGCTTACTCGGATTCTCTTTAAATTACTGTGTGCAGTGTCATGGTAGAGGTGTTCAGTCCCAAGATATTAGACAGACAAGACGGGTTAAATAATATCTTTTGTTGGACCAACTTCTGCTGGGGAGAGAGACAAGCTTTCGAGCTACATGGAGCTCTTCTTCAGGTCTGGGAAGCTTACCTGTGACACTCTGAGTAGGTTTCCCAAACTAGAAGAAGAGCGCCGTGTAAGGTTGAAAGCTTGTCTCTCTGACCAATAGAAGTTGGTCCAATAAAAGATATTACCTCACCCACCTTGTCTCTTTAAATGACTGTGGCATTTATGGTGGGGTGGGGTGGGTAGAGTCAGTGAATCAAGTTTATTTTAATTGGTCCAGGGCAGTGGTGGGGAACTTCGTGCTCATTTTCATCCAGCCCACGGGCCACATACTTTCCACTCTGGTAGGGGGGCACCGATGCTCGGGGCTTTCCCCTGCAGCGGGTCAAGTCGGCGTTTGCAGTTTCAGCCCCATGGGGCAGGGGAGCACTGAGGCTCGGGGATTCACACCCGTGGGGCTGGAGCCGCAAGCACCAGCTCGCCCCACCACGGCGGGGTGGGGGTGGGGGAGCCTCAGGCCTCTGCGTCCCCTCTGGCAGGTGAGTTGAACATGTGTGGTCCTCCATTGGTTTTTTTTTTGGTGGGTCAAGGGCCCCTGACACAAAAAAGGTTCCCCACCTTTGGTCTACTGCACCCTGAGATTCAGCTGCCCTCCCTCCCCTCACAAGGGACCAAATTTAATATATATTTTAATATATATATATATATATATATAACTATATCCAGGAAAAAATCTGTGGGCAGTATCAATATAATACTTACCTCATAGGCCTGCCCCATAACGCATCAAGACTGTGGCAAACAGATCCACTTGCAAAATCTAATAATTGAAAAGTTCTTACATTTTCATTCTGGATCTCTAAAGCAGCAAGCGTGCTACTCTGAGTACCCAGGAGCTCCCTTACAGGAACGGAAAAGCTCCAGTAATATTTCTGTGTAAAGAGAAAATGAAAAGTGCTCTCAAATTCATACACTCCCACATAACCTTAACTCTGCCCACTAAGAGAAATGCTCCAAGGAGTCCCTACGAGAGATTTTAGCAATGTCTTCTTCCTGAGCCTGTGCAAAACTGCCAGAAAGTTTAGAAATGACGTTTGTGTCTTAGGCCTTGTCTAAAGGAGGAAGAAGCTAGCTAAGTCTGTGATCTGAAGCGGTTGTCTGCTGTCCAGCCCAATGAGCCAGCACTCCTAGAAATGAGCTCTTTGGTAGCCACCTAGCAAACAATATAATAGCGATCAAACAAACAGCTGGACATATGAGACTCGTAACTATATTACAGGCAGCTCTCATGTTTTCTGTAAGTGGCTTTAGAGAAGAGGTATTAGCCCTTCCGCCCAAGAAGTCTGAGTCTGAACCCTCCTTGGGAAATACAGATAATAAGGGTGAAAACGACCAGTTCTATTGACAACTTTGGAGGCCTGGTTCTCCTCTTACTTGCAATGCACATCAGTTCTTTCTCTGTCGTGACTAGCGTGTTTGAAGTGTTTTCTGCACTTCTGTAAATCCTTCACTGATGACTTTTAGTGGAGATCTCACTGCTTTAAGATTGCACCATCCCCATCGCTCCACCTCGCCTTCCTGATCCGTCTCCCCTGCAGCTCCTAATCCTTTTTACAGCTTGAGACGCTAAGAAGAAAGCTATCATCTTAATAACAGCAATTTACTGTTTCCCTGCTTCATGAAACCATTAATTCTCACAATACCCACAAGAAGTAGGTAGTTATTATCTCATTATCTAATAAAGTGATCACTGAGGCACAGAGCCTAACTGAGATGCTCAAGGCCACTTCACTGGAAAAGCGGGAGCTAGAACTCAGGCACGCCTGATGGCTAATAGTATTGTTAGCTACAACTTCAACTCTCATATTGCCCCGATGCCTCCACTGAGATCGTGAGCCCCTGAGGCAGCTTGCTATAGAAGCCCGGGTTCTGAGACTGTTCTCATATTGGAGAGTTAACAAACTAACCAGGCAAGAGGGAGGAAGAAAGGATTATTTGCCCCACTTTACACATGGGGAGGTGATGAATGGGGAGATGAAGGGCAAGGTCTTCCATAAAGTTAAGCACACTGAATGCTGAGCGCTTCTGAAAATCTGGCCCCTACTGATTTTCCCAAGGTCCCACAGGCCATGAGCCAGTAGAATGGAGCTCAGATTCTCTGTGTCCCAATTCATGGTAAATAAATATTTACCGGGGGGGGCGGGTTAGCTCAGTGGTTTGAACATTGGCCTACTAAACCCAGCGTTGTGAGTTTAATCCTTGAGAGGGCCACTTAGGGACTATGGGGTGGGCGGGCAGGCAGGGGGAGGGACTTGCTGACCTTTCAGGATCCCTTCCAGCTCTATGAGATAGGTATATCTCCATATATCTTATATTAATGGCCTAAGCTAGAAGATCATCCATTCTCTCTAAGGTCCCTGTGATAGTTCAGGGAAACTGCACCAGATA